AATTTGTTAAGAACTGGACCATTAGAACTGGGCAAGATGCCTGAATCTATATCTTAATGTTATCTCTGAAGTTTATATGGACTGTATATCTAGCTGGTCCTCTTGTTTTTACTTCTGCCCACTGCATTAGTAGTATACAGGTTGGACTGCTGACCAGAGACCCAAAATAGTGGTGACATAAACAAGATAGTTTATCTTTCTCTCATGTAATAGCCCGAACAGTTAAGAAATACAAAGCTGGTATGGCAGCTCAACATCAGGGACATAGGCTCCTACTAGCTGGTTGGGTTGACATCCTATAATGTTGCTCTTCCTCTGCAAGACACAAGCTGTCTCACCACCATGCTCACATTTTAGCCAGTGGGGAAGGGGGGTAAAGGGAAAGAGAGCATTTTCTTACAGCCTTTGGGAAATTGGTTAGTAATTGTACAGATCACTTATGCTTGCTTCTGAGCTTAGTCAGAACTTAGTCACAAGGCCATATCTAACAACAAAGGAACCAGGGGAAAGTATTGAAGGTAGTTATGTTCCGAGCTAAAAATTGACAGATCTACTACTACAGAAGAGAATAGTTATTAGGGTCAAGTAACAGTCTCTGGCAACCTCTTTATAACCATTCTCCTTCCAGGAGACAGTGACCCTTCTAAAACAAATTGAATCATGGCGCATATGGCCACAAACTGTATAATGGCTTCCCAGTGCTCTGAAGATACAAACTAAAATCCTTACTATGGCCTACAAGGCTCTGCATAGCCTGCAAGAGGCTTGGTCTCTTTGCTTGTCTCCTCTTGTACCCCACTTTCTGCACTCCAGCCTCATCAGTTCTCATTCAAGTCCCCAAACACACATTCACTTCCCCAGGAAAAACTTTCCCAAGTGCCCCCCACCCCAACCTGGCTTCCTTTGTCGTAAAGCTCTAATATAAAGCACATATCTTTGCTTTGTGGCACTTAGCTCACTTATTTGTATAATTACTTGAATGTCTCTCTCCTCCACAACACTGTAAGCTCTGTGAGAGTGGGAGCCATGTATTTTTGCTCGTATTGTGTTGTGTTCCTAGTGCTCACCCAGTACTTGTCACAGAGTGAACATTCAAACGCTTGGATATATGTTGCAATAGTTCAGCTTATTATTTTATGAGCTCCAGGATTTGGAGAAGTTTATCTCACAGCGATCTGATATATTATGTGAAATTATACTCTTACTCAAACATTTTACTCTGTGTGCAAATTAGAGCTTAAAGAAACAGACCTCGGAGTTATAAGCCTGAACTTCTAACTTAATTGCTTGGACAATTTTACATTAAACCATTCAGTCTTTTTCTTTTTTGTTCCCCATTACTAAGTAGATATTAGAACCTTGTTGGGGGTAACTTCTAGATCCTAAGCTACTAGGAGTCAGATGTAATCATCTCAGAATAGCATCAGAGGTACTCAAATTCTTTAAAAGGTATTGCTTGATTTTCAGTGAAGATGTGCATATCATTACAAAAAGCTAAAATATTTCAGATTTCTGTCTTAGAAAAAAATATATATCAGTGAAAAGGCAACAAGTTAGGAAGAACACTAGCAGTAAAAAAACAAAAATAAAAACAAAAACAAAAGCAAACAAACCTTGGGATGAAAAAATTTCAATTGTTTTTTTTATTACACTGAGCTGCTATAATTGATAAATGGTCTAATCATATTAAAATGTTCTTCATAGAAAACCACATCTTCATGAAACACATAAAAGTAACACAAATACATTTCCAGTGTTCTAGTAACTGTATTAATATACCCAAAGAATCATAGTACTGGTTGGGACCATTATTTTGCAAATTTTACAATTAAGGAAACTAAGGCCTAGCAGTTTAAATGGCTTTCCATAAAATTTCTCAGGCATTTAGAGACAGAGCTGTGGTTAGCTTTAAATCTGTTTTTTCAAAATCTACTTTTCATTTCTTTAGTGTAAAGGAAAACAGAAACTTAAGGCTAGAAGTGGTGTCACATAATAATGTAAGAGTGAAGATAACATAATGAGTGGTATGACCTGGACCAAGAGATGAGTTTATATGTAATGTTTCTATTTTGGACAATAGACAAATATAATATTACTTGACTCGAAGATAATCTTGAAGAACTGGAAACTTCAGACAATACCCAAATTTGGTTTTGTTTTTTAATTTTTTAAACTTTTCCCCTAAAATTTCTTTACTAAAAGCAGTTGATTACTGAAATACTCAGGACTAGGGGAGCCTGGGTGGTTCAGTCGGTTGAGCATCTGCCTTCTGCTCATGTCATGATCTCAGTGTCCTGGGATGGAGTCCTCATTAGGCATCCCCCTGGGTGGGGGACTCTGCTTCTTCCTCTCCCTCTGCCCCTCCCCACCACTTGTGCTCTCCTCTCTCTCTCTCAAATAAATAAATAAATGAAATCTCTAAAAAAATAGAAATAAACTGAGGGTTTTGGAAGGGAGGAGGGTGGGGGTATGGGTAATCCTGGTGGTAGGTATTAAGGAGGGCAAGTATTGCATGGAGCACTGGGTGTGGTACATAAACAATGAATTTTGGAACACTGAAAAAATAAAATTAAAAAAAAATCAGGACTCAATAATATATATTTTACTTCCTATCAGTGTACCTGCAAATTCTTGGGTAGCAATGTTTAAGAAAGGAAAAAAGAAAAAAAAAAAAAAGAAATGTACCTAAAAAGCAAACCAGTGAAAAAGCAACCAGTACAAACCACAGAAATGACTTTAGAATAACAGAATTGGTTATAACCTAGGTCCATATTGGCAGAGGTTATATAGCTCAAAATATCAAATGTTATTACTGTCATCAAATAAAGGTGACATTAATTTCTTAGAAGTCCTTTTCTTTTTCTTTTTAAAAAGATTTTTATTTATTTGACAGACAGAGATCACAAGTAGGCAGAGAGGCAGGCCAAGAGAGAGGAAGGGAAGCAGGCTCCCCGCCGAGCAGAGAGCCTGATGCAATGTGGGGCTCCATCCCAGGACCCTGGGATCATGACCTGAGCCGAAGGCAGAGGCTTTAACCCACTGAGCCACCCAGGCATCCAGAAGTCCTTTTTTAATAAGAATAAAATGAATGCAGGATAATTCCATAAAGAAATAAAAATAGCAGGGAGAACAGGTGCTCAGAGTCTTTCTTTAATAGGTTACCAAAGGATTTCAATGTATATAGCTCATCTGCCATCTAAAGGGAGAGACTGCGGTTCTCCAGTAGATTATATAATATTTCACAATTTACTAATTGATTCCTTAATTTGAAGGTGACATCATGGTAATATATTTGTGTGGCTTTGGAATTAATGAACACATTTTCACTTGAAGGTAAGTCCTCATGATGGTAGTTAGGTATTTTTCTTAGGAAATGCTACCATAGCTATCCCACTTTACAACAACCAAAAATATGGACACAGACATGTAACTCCAAATTTAGATAGAAATGCTTCTAGAATATAAAATAAGTTGCCAGGGAAGTTGTTTTTAAAGATCCTAAAGTTTCAAAAATTGTTCATATTTCTTATTCAATATGAGAACAGAAATTATACCCGTTAAGGTGTGTAGCTTTGAAATCTCAGCCTCAGGTTTTTTGTCAATAGCCATGTAAGTATCAATTTTTCCCTTCCACAACATTTACATGTCAGTAAAATTGAATTCCCGTTTAAAGTTTATGATAGTTTAATAGAGAAACCCAGATTACATTTGATAAACAAGTCTTCAACCCACATGGAAGAATTGTATTGGTTCATTTAACAAGTATATGTAGTCTATTATAGGCCAAAAAATATGGAAGAGGGATGTCAAATACATTAAAAATGAGACAACAGACCAAAAAAGTTACTGTGTTTTAACTTTAATAATACACTCAAAATTTTAACACAAGAAGTCACTATTTTAATTAACATTTAAACACAATTATAAGGAACAAAATGCTGAATGCCTTGATGAACAAAGTACAGCATCTGTCTTTAGATTCACGAGCTGCCCAAAACATTTGAAATATATAGCATATGAAGTCACAGAACCAGAGGGCTAGAAGAAAACCCCACAAGGTAATTGCTTATCTAGATTGATTGATCTTGACACTGAATACTTTTTAACTCATGTGATGGTCATTTTGGTCATCTAACTAACCACGTAACTGTCAACCACAGGGCTTTGCAAATGTGGAATGATGATTACAGTTAAAACGAAGTATAATAGATAACCAGAATAAAATCCCCTTAGTCACTGTTTTATATTTTCAATATGCACACTTTAAATATTAATGTGAGATAAAATTTCACTATTTAAACTCACAGTACATGTACCAAAACTACACATGAATACAGCAAAAGTGGAAACCCATGTAGCCTCTGGCTTTTAAGCTCACACACTGGTCAAAACATTTAGAAATTTGAAGGATAAAAGTCACAATAAAGAGTGAAAAGCCTTAAGACAATTTAACACGCTCATTGTACAGCTGACCAAACTAAGGACCAAGGCAACCGGACCATAACAATCCATGTGTGCTTTTTGAAAATGACAGTAACCATCACAGTCATGAGAAATGCAGGTTGACCACTTTAGGAGAATTTAATCTTCAAATTAGCAATTCAGAATTTCCTACTATAGGTGAAGAAAAGTGGAAGGATACTAAATATTCACGAGAAGTTAACTCTTATAAGTCAGGATGCCTTAGGCTGAGGCTTGAGAATAAAAGCACTTCACAAATAGAATAGTGAACACAAATCATTACAAGTCAAGATAATAGTTATATAGAAGTAAGGTAAATTTTCTTGATACACAAAAATTGTTTTGATGAACTTTTCAGTAATGAATTTAAAATGAACTGCATTAGCTTCAAACACAAGATGAACATAAACTACTTAATAACTTTAGAGCTTATGTAATATTCTTGCCAAAAAACAGTTGCTGAAATTACCAACAAAATGAGAGAATATCTTTAAAGCAGTGCCCTCCTTATAACCTGTAATCATTTCACTTGCCAATTTTTAAGAAGTATTAGTTGGACTATAAATCCTGTGCAGGTAGACTTCTACTTTATTGTTACCCAAATTACAGATATCCAAGATACCGACGATATGCACTCTATCCAGTCTACTTGCAGCTTTTATAATATCACCTAAAAATAAAAAGCAGATGGTAAGTATTGTAAAATAGTTAAATATTTACTTGGATTTAGTATCACATAAGCTGACTTTTTTTTCTTATAACATTAACAAATGTCCCTCATCTTCCCTCCAATTTGTCACATATTCATCAAAGTTACATTATGGTAACTTCTGCACATAACAATGAATATATCACACAGATGCTACTATTAATGTCAAGATATGGGCTGGTATTCCAAAGCCATATTTAGTTATTTTTACTTTTCAAATCTTTTTGGTGGACTAAAGTAAGTGTATATTTTTTCAGGGTTATTTATATGGTACCAAGTAAGCAACCTACTGTTTACACTTCAAGGGAGTACAAAAATAATTTTTTCTATTTAGAATTTAATTGTCAATTCTTTACAAAACTTAATAGATGTAAAGCAAACTACATGGAATTGAAGTTTTTTTTTAAAGGATATTTCCTCTGAAACGGCTTTATTAACTAACACTTAGCTTTGGATACTCTCAAGAAGCTCTACCAAATATGGATCGGGTGAAGGACATTACTGTATATGGTGGAGTAGGCAGTTTCAGAGCTGTGTCCCTCCACTAAAGCAACTTACGGGCTGACAAAAACTCTCAGATCAACTTCTGCAGAACTCTGGCATCTATACAAGAACTTAAAACAATCAGGGGAAAGATTAATAGAGAAAGAGCTGCCGCACTGAGGTAAGAACGTGCTGAGGTGCTTTAAATTGCCCATGTACTCCCTGTATCAGCAGCAGCCAGAAAGACAGCAGCTAACACTCCTGGTGTAGGCTGTTTGTACCAGATGGTGCAATGCAGAACTTACTCTCAAAGACGTGGTTGTGAGTTTGGACCTACTGGGCAATTCCCTCAAGGGCAGATGCAAAAGCTTGCTTTCATTTCACCTGATTTGGGGCATTCCCACAACTGGGGTAGCTTCCCCAGTGGCTTTTGTTGAAAGCATATGGAGGCAAAAACATTAGCCAGAGCAGCTGGGGCAAAGTATAAAGTTGGGACAAGCAACAGATCAAAAAGCCTGAGGAGGAAAGGGTTGGGAAAAGCCACATGTGGGGGAATAAGGGCTTCTTAAAACCTTCTGTGTACACTGGGGCATCAAGAAGCCCACATGTATGCCTAGTGCTGGATGCATACTCAGAAAAGGCCTGAGGGAAAACTCCAAATATTCACCTCTGGCTGACCATCAGGCTCTGCAGAGCAGGAAGTGAAAGCTAAGGCAGGGCTGTAAACAGCCTGGGTAAGCACTGAACACAGATCCAATGGCAAAAACTGGAGATCATTTTTGTCCCTGTTCTCCTTTTCTCTCCTCCAAATGTTTAAAGAAACTCTTCCAAACACTAACTGACCACTACTAAGCTAACGGATCACAGACTTCAATGGCTACACGTGACAAAGACTTCATTTTAAGTATGAGAAAATGAAAACATTATGCAGAGCCACATGGCTTTGGAATATCAGTCCATATTTTGACATTAGTAGTAGCATCTGTGTGATATATTCACACAGTATTGTGCAACCATCACTGCTATCCATTTTCAGAACTTTTTCATCATCCCAAACAGAAATTCGCATACCTTTAAAATCTTAACTCCCCATTAGATACCTCTGTTTTACTTTCTGTCTCTATGAATTTGGCCTCAAGACATGTGCTCTTAACCTTCATAGGCTGTAAAGCTGTACCTAAAAGCCAATGGTGGATCTAGGTTTTGTGGGGCCTGAAGGGCATACTGTTTGTTTGTTTGTTTATTTATTTATTTATGAAGACTTTTTTTTTTTTTTTGAGGGTGGGTGGAGAGCACGCAGAGAGTGTGAGAGGAAGAAAGAGACTCCTCACTGAGCTGGGAGCCCCATTTGGGGCTTGACTCGGACCCTGGGATCAGGACCTGAGTTGAAGGCAGATGCTCAATCGACTGAGCTACCCAGGTGCCCCAAGGGCATACTATTTAGGATCCCCTTTTAAACATAACAATACTGAAGCAAGTGAGGGCTTCTCAAGCTTAGTCTTTGTTAACTTCATTATTAAAGCCACCTCTGTTAGATATGTCACAAAATCTGATGAATGATTTACAACTGTGCAAATTCACTAATGCACAATGAATACAATAATGACAAATATAGAAAATAAGTATATAACTTTTTTCTTCTTTGAATGGGATGGACTTTAATCTAGATGCTTTGGAAAGATTTTGAGATCTTTAGCTTTGATGCTAACAGCAACAACCCAAACCTTAATAATTCAAATTGTTATCATATATTGACTTTTATAAATAATGATTAACAGAGTGACTGAAACATAAAGTATAAGTAAATCCACTGTTTGGGTAAGTGACTCTGCCTACTTGTGTTAATGCTTTGAGCAAATGACGACCTCTCAAACTACTCATCTGGTACTACGTTAGAGAATGTGCAGATTAAATACTCAGGATGTAGGGCACCTAGAATGGTGGCTGACACAAAGCTCAGGTATTAGCAAACAATCATTTTCTACTTTAGAAAACTTAATATGAAAAAAAAAAGAAAACCTAGTATGAAATTAAGATGTTATTATTTACATCACATAGGGATTCTCTTAGAAGCACCTTAGAATGAGCTTCTCTACATTTCACTTTAAATTGTTAGACTTGTGTATAAAAACTGTACTTTTTTCGAAACATCACAGATGCACACAGTGAGGGTGACTTCTTTTGCCATCAGTCTGCCAAAGAGTAACAAGAACAACAATACCTAGCATTTCTAAAGGTGTGAGTAAAGTGTGATTCTTGCTTTTGGTAAAAGTGTAAATTAGTATAAACTTTTTGGATGACAATATGACAGTATCTGCCAAAATTTTAAATGCCTACATATTTGAGTCAGTGACTACTTTTCTAAGAATTCATCTTACAGATATGTGTATAAGTGCAAAAAATATGTATATACACACAGATAGATAGATAGATACTCATCGTGGTACTCTTTGTTGAGAGCCAAAATATTTTAAAATGATCTCAACACCAATCACTAGGGGATTGAGTAAATAATTTTGGTACGTACACAAAGTTAAATATTTATAGGTATTAAAATGAATGAAGCAGCTCTCTATATACTAACATGAAAGCTATTCAAGATACATTGTCAAGAGGAAAAAGGTGGTTATGGAACTGTATGTTTACTATAATTCCATGTATGTGTATTTCTTTAAGACTGTGTGTGTGTGTGGGGGGTGGCCAAGTGAGATTTATTCCCAGTTGCAAGGGTGGTTTAATATTTGCAAATCAATCAACATGCTAAATCACATCAATAAAAGAAAGGCTAAAAACCATATGATCACTTCAATAGACACAGGTAAAGCATCTGATAAAGTTCAACATCCATAGATGATGAAAAACCTCTGCAAAGTAGTTCTAGAGAGAATATACCTCAACATAATAAATGCCATACATGGAAAACCCACAGCTAACATCATCCTAAATGGGAAAAAATTGAGAGTTTTTTCCCCTAAGGTCAGGAACATGATGAGGATGTCTACTCTCACCACTTTTATTCAGTATAGTCCTGGAAGTCCTAGCTACAGCAATCAGACAACAAAAAAGAACAAAAGCCATCCAAATTGGTAAGGAAGAAGTAAACCATTCACTATTTGTAGACGACATGAAAGACTCCACCAAAAAACTGCTAGAACTGATTTAAAAAATTCACTAAAGTCATAGGATACAAAATAAACATACAGAAATCAGTTGCATTTCTATACAGTAATAATGAAAACAGCAGAAAAATTAATTAAAAAGACAACCCCATCACAACTGTAACCAAAATAATAAGATACCCAGGAATAAATCTCACCAAAGAGATGAAAGACATGTACTATGAAAACTCTAAAACATCGATGAAAGCAATTGAAGATGACATAAAGAAATGGAAAGACATTCCATACGCATAGGTTGGAAGAAAAAATACTGTTAAAATGTCTGTACTACCCAAAGCAATCCACAGATCTTATGCAATCCTTATCAAAATACCAACAGCATTTTTCACAGAACTAGATGAAACAATCCTAAAGTTTATATGGAACTTCAAAAGATCCAGAATAGCTGAAGCAATCTTGAAAAAGCAGAGCTGGAGGCATCAAATCCTGGACTTCAAGTTATATTACAAAGTTATAGTAATCAAAACAGTATGGTACTGGCATAAAAACACACATAAATCAATGGAACAGAATAGAAACCCCAGAAATGGACTCAAACTATATGATCAATTGATCTTCAACATAGCAGGAAAGAATATCCAATGGGAAAAAAATATCTTCAACAAATGGTTTGGGACATATTCTGCTTGAAACAAATCACCTTGCTTTTGATTACCACATCACTTTTCTAGTTGTTCTTGCCCTTCATGTCTCAAATATTAACTGCCTGGGCAGTATGATACTAGATTTTTTCAGGTGACCATGTTAATGACTTTTGGAGAACAACTGGCATTAGCAACTGAGAATTTTGCCTTGATATTTCATACCACTAATAACATATACACATAGCAGAAGAAATGTGATGAAAGTAGATGTTGTATGTTGTAAGAAAATAAATACACAAATATTTAAACTATATATTAGGGCACTAATTAAGAAATCTGGACTTTCTGGAAGTGAAAAGAGCTGCATGTAGAAAGTAATACTGCAAAGTCAGCTACTATATCATCTCTAAAATAAACTGTGGTAAAAGTAAAAGACTCCTAAAACAAGAGATTCAAGCTTAGTTTGCACAGTAACCATTCCTGCCAAAAGTTACTTCATTATCAAGCACAGTTTATAAAACTTGTTTAAAAACAATATGTACTCAAGAGTTTCATCATCTTAGAAAGACCCACCACAAAATCCCAAGATAATAAAGGCTGTCTTAAAAGCTCTTGTAAATGTAATATCCTTCTAAGCTCAATGAGAACTGCTAGAAATTTTACCACCCACTCAGGAAATAAAGATGACAACAGGAAGTAGATACTTATAATTGGATACATAATTTTATGGGAATATAGAAATAATTTAGAGTTCAGTAAATTATGTAGCAGCCTAAACAATTAGTCAGTTGAAGTGTTTCACTATTGGGATGACATGAACTCCTAGCCGTCCTCAAGGAATTTATTGCATAGCACTTGAATAACTAAACATTTATAAGAGAAAACAACCATACTGTACTATGCTGTGGAGGTCTTAAAATTTTAGGCAATTGTAAGATGAAAGGACAGATCATCCCACCTTAGTTAAAAGGAGAGAAGAGTTGAATTGGCACTGCTCCATGTTATACCACTTAAATCTAATGAATACTTACATTTAGAAATGTATTATAAGAGAACATTCTTAATGTCTGCCTGGAATCAAAACCATTAATTTGCCCAATTTTCTTTAAAAATATATTCTCATTTCTAAATCTTGGGGCACATTTACCAAACGCCCCTTTAAATTATATTGAATGTTAAAGTTAGAACCATTTATATAATCACATCTTAAGATTATAAGTGTTTATGATATTAATTTTATCTTCTGAGTGAAAGGAATACTGAAATGATCTTACCTGCAAGTGCTCTTGAACCTGCCAGTGTGTCATTTCCAGGTTCATCCTGCGGATACACACAGCTGTAATTCATGCAGGTTAGTAATGTGTCGATTTGGGATGTTCGGAGATCTTCTGGACAATACATGGGCAGGAATGCAACATCAATTGCGATCTCATGGTTCAGACCTATATAGAAAAACCACAATTTGTTAAAAGTGGGTTAGTCAGGAAGGTAATGAGGCCAGGTTTGCTGGTTTGATCCTGACATATGCCAAATAGTTTCACGTGTATAAATGCATGGTTTCAAAGCCAGGAACTAAACCCTTTGCTGTGTAAAACTTTATGAATACATGCAACTGGTTGAAGAGGAGGCACTTTAGTGCAGTCTATCACCACTCCTGGAAATAACAATCCAAAATGTTTTATCAAAAACCAAAAAACCCCCACAAAAATCATAACCCCCCAAAAAACTCCAAAGTGTTTTACTTATTGATAGATGATTTAAATTTCAATATCCAGAGGATGACCTGGTCACATAAATGAAGACATGTAGAATATTTTCTTGGTCATTATGTCAGGGGCCATTACAGAACAGAATAATTCAGAGATAACTACTGGTTCCCTTTATGCCATTTGGACTTAAGGATGTATGACTCAAGCAAAGCCAGGGATGGTAGTTAAAAAAAAAAAAAAGGTCCCATCTGTCCTTTATTATACAATACAAACTTCATTTACTTGCCATTAGGGCTATAAAAGTTACAGCAGAAAAGGGGGTATGGAGGAGCAACCTAAAGTAAATCCTGACCTGTGACTGTCATCTCTTTGTATGGGTTAATGTCTACTAGGGTGGATATAAAAGACTTCTTAGGGGTGCTTGGGAGGCTCAGTCGGTTAAGTGTCTGACTCCTGATTTCAGTTCAGGTCATGATTTCTGGGTCCTGAGATTGAGCCCTGCGTTGGGCTCTGCACTCAGCGGGCAGTTGGCTTGAGGATTCTTTCCCTCTGCCCTTCCCCCTGTTTTTGCATGCTTTCTCACTAAAAACAAAACAAAAAAAAAAACCTTTCTTTTAAAGACTTTTTAGAGGCAAGGCTTTGAGCTGGGTACAAGAGGTTGAACAGCATTTAAATAAACAAGAAAGAAGTTATTTCCGGCAGAGCAGGGAGTAGCCAAAATTATAGATCAGAGTAAGGAGACCATCTTGACTGAAGGAAGGGTAAACACACAGAACACAGCTTGAAAACCCTATGAATTCTACCCAGTCACCCCAAACAGAACCCTGGAGGTTATCCTTAACTCCTTCCTTTTGTTCTTCCCTGATACATAGCAAGCAAGTTTTATAGATTCTATGACCTTATTATCTCCTCTACTCATCGCTATAGTGATTCTTAACTACTGGGCATGGGTCAGTGATAGGTAAACAAACTCCTTCCTGTTAAACTGCAAACTGATCCAGAAACACAAGGGCATTTTTTTGCCTTTTTAATAAAAAATATTTTATTTATTTATTTGACAGAGAGATAGAGCCAGAGAGCACAAGTGGAGAGAATGGCAGAGGGAGAGGGAGAAGAAGACTTCCCACTGGGCAGGGATACCGCTACATCCCAGGCCCCTGGGATCATGACCTGAGCCAAAGGCAGACGCTTAACCATCTGAGCTACCCAGACACAGTATATTTTTTTGCTTTTTATGGGCAAATGGCACTAAATCTCCACAGCTTTAAGTTAACATACAACTAAGGGCTCTTTAAAGGTTTTAAGGATTACTAAAGTTTGGTATTTATAAACTGTAATAGTCATGATATCCAGAATTTACTGAGGATTTCAATTCAGTATAAGAAGTGTAACTATCCCATAACTCTAAGCAATGTTGCAAAACTCAAGTAGAAGTACACATGCTGGTATCTTATTTCCTTGATTCTAAGACCAAATTTAACTCTAAGATATACCATCAGCTTAATAACAGTTTTAATAAAAAGGAAACTCTGCATTAAATGTATCCATTGACTGTAAGATGCATTCCAACTCCCAAGTGTAAAAAAAAAGAAAGTATGGGCTTAGAATTGAGAAAATATCAGAAGTTGGAAATCCTGATATTCTCAGAAAGGTAGTTTTATTATCTGTGTGTCATTGATACTATTTTGAATTATTTTCTACATTATAAAATACGGCAAGTTTAGCTTCATCATTACTCATGAAATTTGTCGTGAGCTCTTTGGTTAAAACTAGAGTTCCGGGTACAAATGTGTAAGTAAACAGGCCTCAGAGCCTCCATACTTGCTGTTTCTGTGCCTAGAATATTCTTTCCTCAGATAACCAGATTGTTCTTTCACCCCCATCAGGATTCTGTGAAATGTTACTTTTACATTTGTGAAATGTTAACCCTAACCCTGACCACTCTATTAAAATGTAATCCTTTCCAGGGTGCCTGGGTGCCTCAGTTGGTTAAGCATCTGATTCTTGATTTTGGCTCAGATCATGATCTCAGGGTTGTGAGACTGCGTCCCAAAAACCAGGCTCCACACTGGGCATGGAGCCTGATTAAGATTCTTTCTCTTCCTCTCTCTCTGCACCTCCCCCCAAAAGATAAAATGTAATCTTTTCCTACTACCTTAAACTCAAACCCCTTTTCTAGCATTTATTACCATCTCTTTTATCAGCAAGCTCTTTTATTTGTTGTGTTCACTCATGTAACCTTGTAACCTCAGGACTTAGAACAGTGCTGGCCACACATTAGATGCTCAGTATTTGTTAAATTGAGAAAATGAATGTACATGTACACATTTTTTACCTATAGTTTTCAAATACTAGACTTTAAGACATTTGAACATTAAGTGTTCAAATATGAATTCATCTGTATTCCTGTTACCAATGGAGATGAACACAAATTATCCTTCCTACAGTGTGCATACATTTGTATTTCAATGGTGACTTCCTGTTTATGTGTTACTTCAGTAAGTAACTTATATTTTACTGTCTAGGTAAATGTGATCATATATCTGGACTATATTCAAAATTAGAGGAAAATATAAAATCAAACAAGTTAGTTCATATTATTCTTTTGTAGTGTGTGTTATGTGAAATTTATATATCTTCTTCCTCGATTCTTTGTGACCACTAAATTTCTTTTCCGATAAAAAGTGTGAAAGTGTGTGTGTGTGTGTGTGTGTGTGTGTGTGTGTGTGTGTGTGTGTGTGT